AGATTTATTTAACTCGAATCTCAACAACTGAGTACTGTTACTGACAATTTAAAGACTGGTTTTTTTTTTCAGGTATAATGAAGGAATTTTCGAGGTTTTTGTAAAAAAAATTGCTACTTTCCCTGATTTTGAGTTGAAATAAAGTTCCAGGTTTTCCCTGTTCCCCCTGACCCGTGGGAAACCTGTTTACAGCAGCCAAAACAATTTAATAGCAATACAAACTTAATTGTAATTATAAATTTCAACATTAGAGACAATAATACATTTTTGAAGAAAGCAATGATCTTTTTTTTTTTTTTTTTTGATGAAAACATATTTTCTTAAAACAGATTTCACGTCTTTTAAATTTCAAAAAAATAAATTAAAAAAATCATACTTGGATGCAATTTGAAATGATCAGGGTGAATTGGGGCAAAATAGGAACAGGCAGAATTTTATGAAAAATTATCTGCCCTAAAAAATCTAAAGAGGAATAGAAGCAGCAATCACATGAAAACAATTAAACAGATTACAAAAAAAAATAGATGCAATTTATATTGTTAGTCATTCATTAAGCTATTAAATTGATCTCAATATTAAAATAAATAACGATTTCTACAAACAGGCAACATAACAAATAGATTTGTAAGGAAGATAGCAACATAAGAAATAGATTAGTTGTAAGACTAAATTGTACATGGGAATTAATAACAACTAATTGAAAAGTAATTGCTTAAAGATAAAACAAAATTTAATCCAACTTACAATCAGCATTTTTTATAGATTGTTTTATCTTTGAAGGTTTGGAAATAACTTTGATTCTTTTACTATGAAATACACTAATATCTTCACCAGTGCCATAAAACATTTTTACAGAAAGCATGAAATGTTTTCTTTTGTCAGAATCACTTATGTACAAAGTTTTGGCTGCACAACAGCTCTAAAATAAAGTGTTTACTTTGAAAATGACAAATAATGAATTATAATTAAATATTAAATAATTATAATCAAATTTTAGAATATAAAAAACATTAGAATAATTACATTGGAATAAATATCAGGAATCAATAATAATGAAATGTTATTATTATTTTCAGTTTACTAAGATATCCAACTATAACAAGTGTTAGGAGTTTCAATGCTCAATAACTAATGCATTAAGTACAATGAAATTTAGTAGTTTTATCATAGATATAAAGCAAAAATTTCCATTAAAAATATTTTTTTCCCCTAACAATCTTAAAAAAAAAACAATAATATTAATACAATATTTTAGAGAAAATAATCAAATTATTAAACAAAAGTGTCTTAATGCAAAACAAGTGTGAAGGATGATTTTAAAAATTGAATTATTTTCAAACAGCCAAAAAAAAAATTTAAATTCTTGAATTTCCAGAAACCTGCTTCGAATTGTCTAAGACAAATTTGTTTAATATTTTTAGTAATTTATTAAAACAAATAACAACGTTACAAATAACCCTTGATACTTTTGAATAGAACAGTATTCAAATAACAAAATAACAATTTTATTCAATGCAAAATGAAAAATAAGATCATGGTTCATAATATATAAGTAAAATTTTTTAACTACACAAAATACCATGAAATCAACAGAATTTTCCAACATCTAGAGCAAAATCAGTGCATAAATGAAATAGAAATCAATAGTATTTTTCTTTTAACTTAAAGATTTCGTCAAAATTAAATGGAATGAAAAAAATAATGATATCAATTCTGATTAAATTATTTGTGTTTTTGAATCATGTGTACAATTTTTACACAACTCTGCCTTAAATTTGCTCGGTTTCACCCAACAGGCTTGCGCGTGTGGCAAGTGACATTAGAAACAACAACATTTTTACACAATAGTGATAGTAAAGAAATTGTGATTTTTGCTCTTTCATATTCAATGTTTTCATTCAAAATTTACCCTGTAATAATTATTTTACAATACACTAAACTTCTCTTTAACTGTGAGTGGATTATTCACTTCAGTTTATCAGCTATCTGGTCACAGGAAAAAATTTCCTGTTCATTAAATATTTTAATAAATACAATTCACAAATATTTATTTTATTGAACTAGACGATCCACGAATGAACCTGATCAACATCAATGTTCATTTATAATACTAAGTTAAATAAATGTTAAACGATATTAAAAATAAGCACGCAGACAATCTTTCAATTCTATATACTGATAATTTATAAATATCTATTCATAAATTTACATTGAATTTGAAAACTGAAACAAATGTAATTAAAGTTCATGATATCCAGCTTTAACTATAATTTTAATTTATAAAAGAAAAAAATAACATTTTTACCTTTTTTCATTGCCATATGATTTTTGAGCAACTTTAGCATGCAGGATAACAAGCACCATATCACCCCTTTCTCTCAAATATTTTTTCATACATTCCCTGGAAACAAAAATAGTAATGCTAAATAAGTTTTATATCATAGTATAAATAGAAGGAAAAAAAATGTCAAGTGGAATAAATAGTAAGTTTTAATTCTAAATAATTACATAGGATGAAAAACATTTTAGAAAAGAAAATGTTCTTTAAAAGGGTATTTTTAGACAGAAATAAAAATTCACTTTTTTCTACTGTCCTTTCTTTATCAATGATTACTATATTCCATGGGTTTTCGACTATCCACCTATCATTATTTCGTCTAATCTTCCAACCTGGTTTACGTAATTAAATAAAAAACAGAATTCACAGTATTGCTGCTTCATAATTATTAAAAAATGTGAAAAACACGGTGCTATTTAATAAATTACTAAAAAAGAGAGGAAGATTCTATGAAACACAGTAATTCGATGTTGTAAATTTGATTATCAAAAAATTATTTTATAAAACATATATTAAAGAAATTTTTTAAAAAATAAATAAAACTATGTTTAATTTTAGTAGCATCACAAAAAAAATAAACTTCAATCATTCAACTTAGCAATTAAAACTTGGTTTTAAAAAATCAAAAATTTGTCTCTTTCAACAAAAATAAAGTTAGCTGAATAAACTTTTATTTGCAAGAATTTTTGACTGAGAACAATTTAATCAATTACATAGCTGTTAGTAGTATACAAGGTGTGACAAAACTAATGGTTTTAACTATAAAGGGTAAAAGAATTTACCAAAGCAAAAAACTTTCAACATAAAAATGTGGGCTCAAAAATCAATGGGCAAGATGAAAGTGGGTCTTTCTTGAGAAAAAGGGAAAATATAGAAAACAAAATTTTTTATTCCAGATTGTCAAGAAATTTAGGATTGGTAATGGTTAGGAATATTTACTGGCGAAAGCTTATTTTTTCCAGAACATTGAAAAAAAATGAATAAAACTGAAACAAATTGAATGAAATGGGTGATACTAAAAATAGCCAAATAGAATTGTTTAGCAATCTATTCCTACATAAATATATTTGAATTTAAATAAGTTACAATTTAATATAATAACAGAAAATGTAATTTTTTTACATTTCTTTTTTAAAATAACTATACTTGTATTACTAAAGTTTCATACAAAATTTTGAGACCTATATAATATCGAATTTAAGAGTTGGTTTGAGTACTTACAGTATTTCATAATAAAAATTACTATTCTATTTACGATATCAAAATACGATTTGAAGTAGAAAATATAATAAACATGGTATACCACTCAAAGATTAAATTAGTTCTATGACTAATTTAAACATTTAGTGGATGGAAACAATACTAACCAAGCATATAGCTTCATTAAAACCATACTGCTTAATGTTCTTTAAAGGAATTCTCAAGAGACGATAGATTTCTTAAATGAGGTCCATTCTTCATAGTCTTATAAAAATAGAAAATTTTAATCTCATTTCTCGAAGCTTATTGAAAAAACAAAAAATTAAATTTTCAGCCAAATTTGTATTCAGTTTGTTTTGATTACGACGTTTTTGACCTTCTATTTCTGTTATATGAGTTCTTTAATCTTAAATTTTAAGTAAATGCCTAAAGCATCTAGCTCACCCGTTGTTTAACCTCAATGGACATTCTCACTGTTTAAGAAAAATTCGCGAATGGGAGACAGAGATGTGAAGCATAACCTGGTAAATGAAATCCTTTAGCTGGAAAGGCTAAAACAAAACACTTGGGTATAGAGAAGTACTAAAAACGGCACAGAAAATATGTATTGAAAGTTTTTCAGACTTGCCATCACAGTTTGGACTTTTTGGAGAGGGGGTTAGATAGTTTCCATGACACTGGTTGGGATCACAAGTTCGCGTGCTTTTTGACAGCCCTGTCAAAATACGGTGGTTTGGAGTATAGTAGCGAGACTTCACTGACCTAAAGATTAATTAAGCTAGAAGATTAAAGAAAATGACATAAGTTATTACTTTTTATTTTTTAATAATAAAAATTAATTTTTTGAGAATGTAATTAAATTGTAATTTATTTTTTCTTTGAAGAGGGAAATACCTTTGAAGAGTCACTCCATGACTTGTTAAGAACATTAATACAAAAAATTCACAAATATAATTATTACAAAAAATGTAGAAAACTATTGAAACTCAAAATCTAAAAATTGTGAACAGGATTCTGTCCACAATTTTCACTGCATTCGAATGCAGTGAAAGACTTTTCTAAAAATAATACAAAAAGACTGGTTTTAAACTATTATTCTTTTATTTAACTTTCTTTTATTTAACGTACTTTTACAAACGTATTTAAAACTTTTCTTTTAACTCTAAGTTTCCAAACACTTACATTTGGTCTAAGGAAAAGTCAAAAGGGGTGTTTTAACTAAAATTAAAATTTCTAAAGGAAAAAAAATGCAAATTTTTTAAGTATTACTTGCTTGTTAAAATCTTTAAAATTTTTTAATCATACTTTGTTCTCCCTTAATTTTGAAAACATCTCTTTATTTTTTGAAAATATATTTTGATTCGAAAATTGTTTTTTTAATATTCATCACATCAAACTAAAAATTTTCATAATTTTTTTTATATCTACCCTAAAGATAGGCATCACTACAGAAAAAAAGCAACTAAAGCTGAATTCAAGATAAAAATAAAAATAAATGCTTTTAAAATAACATTTTGCGATTTATAAATGTTCAGGTTCTATTGATCTGATTGCTTTAACTCATTTTCGGTTAAAGCAAGATGCGTAAAAACACCATTTCAATAAACATTTTTTTTATTAATATTGTGATGTATATTTTTCACTAATTTTATTCAATTCGACTTTTTGAAAATGTATAGTTATTCCCTTTAAGATTGATCCTATGTTTTCATGACGGAAAAGAGTCGAACGTTCAGTAAATAAAATAAAAATATTACAAATTTCATGAAAAAATAGCTAATGTTCAACTAATGGTTTGTCCATTGATTTGGCCAATGGTGCATGCATGCAACGTTTTATTTTTTAAATAAAAAATTATTATTCATACACGAAATTTTTTTTTTGTGCCATAATGAATGTATCTTAAGCATATTTCAATCTAAAAAATACCACATTTCATAAAATTTCCATGTTTGGCTTTAAATGAATTAATACTCGGTTAGTATATTTGTTAAAAACACTTTCTTAGTTTTATAGTTCTAGTTAAACATTTTCAGTTTCAAATTATGATATGTGAGGGGCAGGGTACTTGCCACTCAATAATTTTCTAAAATCTCAGATTATTATTTTAGAAAGTAGATCCATTAAAAAAGTCCGTAAAGAACTAGTTTTTCATTAATCAGTTTAAATGGTTCTTTATTGTTTAACCAGGCATTTTTTTCCAGTTATAAATTTTTTAGGTGTGATAGTGCGATATTTAATTTTTGTAACTGAGAATATAAAATTGTTCACAGTAACTGAACAGTCAGTTTTAAATTCATAAATTATTGATTTCTACACATAAAACTTGATAGACTGTTTAATTCTTCAATTCTGATAACTGTTTAATTCTTCCCACAATTTTTAACGTTGAAAAATTTCTTACTTTAGAAGAAATTTCCTCTTTTATTACTAATTAATTAAACTTTTAGCTTACTATTTTTGGTAATAATTAAATAGTATGTGTTCTAAAATGCGCATCTGGACAATCGCTAAGGATAGCAACGATACCAACCACAAAATTGAGGAAAATTAGATTAAGTGTGTAATAAAAGAAAATTAAATAAAAGAAAACTTTTCTTGGTTTTGCATTTCAGTTCAAGCAACAAATTTAAAACGAAATAAAAACTTGTAATATAATTGGTAAAAACAACAGACAAGAGAAAAATATCTAAAAAGGAAAGTAAGTCATTAAAGGCCGCTGGATTGTAAATTAGTTATACGGTTTCACCCTAAGCTCCATAATTTATCTTCTTCTTTCGTTTCCAGAGTTATAAACAAAGCTATCAAATTACTATTATATCAAGCTTGACTACACACTTGATTGTTATGGCTGTTTTTCGAAAGGATCCGCCGTAATATGAAATTATGCTTTTTTGCGAATAACATGCAATTATTATAACGGTAGTGAGTTTATTAGAAACCGTAATTGTGTTCAAATTTGATGCAGCATTTAAATGATAAGTTGAACCATATTGTAATCAGGACCTGACTAAGGCAGGAGCATACGGGACAGTTGCCCAGGGCCCCCACATCAGAGGGTGCCCCCAAATTGAATAAAAAGTTTATTTTGCGTTTCCTTTCTTAAGGAAAGATTATCCGAAATCTCAATATACAATAAATATCTCGTGATAATTTTTTTATATACTGAATTTCTGTGCAATTTAATACCGTTCAGATGATAGTAATTAATAAAAATGCTAAGCAAAATGAAATCTATAGTTGCTAAAAATATATACGAGAGAATTTCCGACGTATCGCCTTTAGAATATGACACAAATGCATCCCTCTCATCCACTCTGATTATTTTTATTTTATACCATAACAATCGATGAACAATCGTCGTTTCCTCGTAGACCCAATTTTGGGTTCAAGACTACCCGTGTTCAACTCCGTAGCCTTGCCATTTTGAACCCAATCCAAGGGTACTTCTGTATCACGTATTTGGAGAAATTTGCCTTTATTGAGAATTTTTTCATGCAACTAACCAGCATTGGCGTTACATGGAGAAGAAACCCTCCCACGGTTAGCCTGACTACAAGAGGACCAGTGATCCGTTAACCAATGAGGCTATTTTACGTCAGCACTGTAGTCGGTGCGAGTCAGGTGCGCAATTCACATCGACTAGTCATCGTTGGGATTCGAACTCGGTTCACCTCATTGGAAGGCGAATGTTTAATCCCCTGAGCCAGCACCACTCATGACCTTTATAGTACATTATAAAAAATGCGTTTATGTTTTGAAGATTTCACGAATTTAAGCTTAAAGAGCGGCAATGGCTCTGGGAATAGAGCGTTTGCCTTCCAATGAGGCGAACTGGGTTTGAATCCCAGTTGATACAAATTCCGCTTCCGGCTTGCACCGACCACTGTGCTACATGAAATATCCTCAATGGTTGACGGATCATAGGTTAGAGTTCCCTTACAGTCAGGCTAACCGTGGGAGGCTCTNCGTGGTCTTCCCCTTCCGTGTAACGCAAATAAGCGTTAGCTCCATCAAAAAGTCCATCGCGAAGGCAAATTTCTGTCAGCACTATACAGGAGTTCCCGTGTCTTTGGACTGGGTTCAAAATTGCAAGGCTACGGAGTTAAACATTAGTAGTCGTAAACCCATAGAATTGGGTTGGCTGTTCAACGACGGTTGTAAAATTAAATAAAATTTAAGCTCGAAAGACGAAAAAAAAATGAAAGAAGGAAAAACTCCGGCTCTGAACCATAGCCACCGAGAAATAAGGCCGTTGAGATCTTTTAGCGACGTCACAAACAGTAGTTCTTAACTCATTAACCACCAATTTTAAATATTTGTTATTGAACAACAGCTTCGTTTGTTCTTCAGATTATTGCTTAAATAATATTGTATTTCAGTACCGAAATGTAAAAGAAGTAATTATAAAAATGGGCCTAATGACCGAAAAGGTAATACAAAAATGGAACCATTCAATTAAACGCGACATTTATCAACTAATAGCCGAGTAAGTGTTATTACCCATTAGCAAAATGGCTCCTGGTTTGGATTTCCTCACTTTTCAACTACAATAATCACCCTTAACCTACTTTGGACACATCGGGCTGTTGCATGATATAAAGCAGTTCAGAAAACTTCATTGTTAATGTGTACACTTTTGTCAGTAGAAAATTATCTTGGTCGAGATTGCTTAGCATAATGGAGAACTTATAAAGCTAGAATATTACGTTCGTGTAATAATGGAAGATTAAGATTTAATAATGGTTTTGACAAGGTCTTTTTCCCAGCCCTTTAACATTTGGAAAACTAGAATTCTGAAGAAACTAAGTGAACCATTTGAACAGTTTATTTTATTCAGTAAATTTTGTTCTGTTGAACTTACTCTCAAAATGTTACGTCCCGCTGTGGACAGATCGTTAAGAAACGGTTCCCAGCAGATCATCGAAGTCAAGCATCACTGGCTGCGGTCAGTGTGCGGGTAGGTGACCACATGGATCAGTCTGTGCTGGGACCGAGGGTGTGCGGTATTGGCCCCCGTTAAACTGTTCTACCGTAAAGTTCTTGGACGCCAGTATTTCTTATATATATTTTCAAGTTCTCTAAATACAAGTAAAAATATATTTTGAATTTTAATAATTGTTACTCATTTTACGTTACCCTGTGAACCAAAGTCACGGAGGCGAGCAACATTGCCCACACATACTGCCACAAACCCGTCCATAGGGTGGGCCACATTCACACATCACACACAACGACACATAGAGAGAAACAGACAACACATAGAGAGAAACAGACATGCCCAGAGCGGGATTCGAACCCGCAGCCATTGGCTTCCCAGTCAGGCTCGCTATCCACTCAGCCACCTGGCCGGCGAATTTAAAAAGTCGGAATA